CAGCCACAAGCAAGAGGACAAGATGGTAGGCCATGCACAAAGGGCGTGCGCGGGCGGGCTCACCCTTCATCCTGCCTGCCAGGAGTTCCCCTGCCGGTGACATCATCCGGGTGTGCACAGTTAGGGCACCCCTGTCTCTCTAGGGCCAGGGCACCCACACCTATCCTGGGGAGAGAATGGCTCAACCAGGCTGTCCAGCCTGTCACAACTCTCAGAGTGGGATGAGAGGGATCCGGGAGGGGCTGAGGGGCTGCCCTTGGACTCTACCTGCACTTGAGCCCATCGGAGTGGCAGAGTCTGTGGTTTAGAATCCTGTGCAGTGGGAACAGTGTCTGGCATGCAGTAAGAATTCAGTAAATGGGGCCCAGCGTGATGGCCTAGTTGTTAAATCCTCAGTTTTTAATGTGCTGGGATCCCATATGGGCGCCGGACCATACCATGACTGCTCCACTTCCCATCCAGCTCCTGGTCTGTGGTCCTGGAAAGCAACAGAGGATGACCCAGAGACTTACGACCCTGCGCCCTCATGGGAGACCTGGAAGAGGCTCCTGGCTTCTGATTGGCTCAGCTCTGGCTGTTGCAGCCACTTGGGGAGTGAACCAGTGGACAGAAGATCTTTGTCTCTCCTTTTCTCTGTAGGTCTTCCTTTCCAATAAAAATAAGTAAGTTTTTTTTAAAGGAAATGTACTTATTAAAAAAAAAAAACCCTCAAAACAAAACAAACAAACAGAAAAAAAGAGCTCAGTAAATGTACCAGTCCTGGGAGGCACCAGCCTCCTATTTCTTTCTTAAAATATTTACTTTTATTGTAAAGGCAGATTTCACAGAGAGAGAAGGAGAGACAGAGAGATCTTCCATCCACTGGTTCACTCCCCACATGGCCACAACAGCAGGAACTGAGCCAATCTGAACTCAGGAACCAGGAGCTTCTTCCAGGTTTCCCACGTGGGTGCAGGGTCCCCTGGCTTTGGGCCATTCTCTTCTGCGTTCCCAGGCTGTAAGCAGGGAACTGGATGGGAAGTGAAGCATCCGGGACAGGAACCAGTGGTGATAAGGGATCGAGCGCCACAGGGCAGAGGATTAGCATGCTGCACCATCACACTGGCCCCATCTTTTTATTTCTTACTATGAGCCGGGAGGACACAGACCAAATGGGACAGAGTCCACGCCTGCAGCTGGGAACAGCCGGGAAGGCACGGATACTGTCCTCAGTGTTTAAGGCTGGGACAGAATGAGTGACAGGAACCCACCATGACACACCTGAAAGCAGCCGTGGACACGTGCAAACTTGAGTCCAATTGCCACGTCTTTGTTTTTTTTTTTTTTCCAAAGAAGCCTGAGACTGAAACTTTCACATAGAACCCGCGGAAGTGTATGTGTGACAAATTTCTGTAAAACAGAGAACAACAACAACAAAAATGGAAGAGACTGAAGGAAAACTCTTCCAGGAACCTGCAGGGTGAAGCTTTCCCATGGAGCCAGCACTCAGGGGCCAGTACAGCGCATTCCGCACATGGAGCAGGGGCTGCTGTCACAGACCTGGGGGGCAGCAGTCTGACCAGGCGTGTGTGTAGGTGTGTGTTCAGAGAGGCACGTGCAGTGCAGGTGCACAGCAAGGCAGGGAGGCCTGGAGAGACTAAAGCTCCAAAGCAGGAGGTGATGGGAGTCAGGGATGAGGCAGAAATGTGGCTGCAGGGGCAGGTTGGGGAAGCAGGGCCTGGCTGGTCCTGGTTTTCTTGTGGCCACACTCCCTGAACTCCAGCTAATATAGGCTCACAGCAGCTGCTTCTAGAAGTTTCTGTTTGACTATTCCTCCCCCTTCCTCTCTCACCTCTGTGGCCCAGTAGACCTTGCCCTGTCCCCATGTGGGTTCCCTGGGTGCAAGACACACACAATCACCTCCACACTCCTTGAGGGTAGAAAGGCTGGCTCTTGGTCAAACCCTGAGGTCACAGCGTGGGCAGAGCGGTTTCCAAGCACAGATGTGTGGAGAGCAGCCTGGCCTCAAGCTAGGACCGCACTGTGCACCCCCTGCTCTCCCCACTGTAAAATGCAGATAGAAAAAAAAAAAAAGCCAAAATCCTGGACATTTAGTCCAGATATCCTGGGCCTGGGGGCAGAAAGGGTTGGGGGGGGCACTTGTGTTTCCCGGATTTTTAAATGTTTCTTTCTCCAAGAGCTGGGCGCCCCTTGGCCTGCACCCCAGCCCTGCTGCCGCCCCCTCGGCTTGGGGAACCCCCCACTGGCTCTCGCCTGGCCCCGGCCCTCAGCTTCCTCCCGTGGGGAGCTGTGGGGAGCTGCGGGCTGAGGAGGGGCAGAGCCCGGGTCACCCCCATGCTTCCCAGGCTTCACTCCAGGGCTTATTTCCTTCAGTCCCGGGATGTGGCCTCTCCGTGGGGTCCCAGCCCCCAGGTCCCAGGGGGAGTCCAAACAAAGGCCGGCCTAAGGTTGGGGGCTGGGAGTTGGGGGGGGGCGGACAGCGGCCAAGTCCGAGGGCTCCGGATCACCGGAGAGGTGGAGCGGCCAGGGGTTCGGAGACCCTGGCTGGTGTCTAGGCCTCCCCACCCAGAGGCCTCAGCTGTCCGCTCCACAGCTGTAGGTGGAGAGGGGAGAGTCACTTCAGCCATTTCCCGGCTTCCCCCCGTTTTTTTTTTCCCCAGGCTGTGGGACACAAAGGGTTAAATCCCATAGAGCTGATGCTCTGACTCCAGGCTAGAGGGGCCCGGGAAGCTGGGGTCACTTCCTGCTCCGTCCCAGTCACCCTGAACTGGTCCCCGGGTCCTCAGCCTGGAATCACCCTTTGAGAAGGACCCCGGAGTCCTCGACTTCCGACCCGTCACCCCCCCTGCCCCAAGGCAGGGCATTGAAGGGGTTAAGTCCCCTGGGGCTGGACTCGGCCTCACCCCCCCCAGAGCCGTGAGTTGGGGACACCTGGGTTCCCGGAGGGGGGAGGTGACCCGCAGGGCCAGGCGCCCGGGAACAATGGGGCCGGCCAGGCGTGCACCCCCCGCGCCGCCCAGGGGCCGGGCCGGGCCGGGGGCCGCGGCGGGCCGGGGGATTGTGGGAAGCGCGCGCGGGCGAGGGGCCGGCAGCGGGGGAGGGGCGGGCGCGCGCCGCCCGGGGCCGGGGTGCGGGGCCGGCGGTGCGGGGCGCTGCGGCCGGAGAGCCGGGGGCCGGGGCAGCGGCCGAGGAGACCGGCCCCGGGGACTGGAAGCCGGAGCGAGGGGTCGCCACTTGGGAAGGGCAGGGCTGCGGGGTCTGGGCCGGCGCGGGCGCGGCGGGGCCGGGGCGCGGGGTGGGTGGCTGCTTTCCCGCTGCCTCCATGTCAGGGTCACCCCGGGCCACTGCCCACACCTCTCCCAAGCCGCCGTCTCCTCTCTCCGTCCGCCGTCCTGGGGGGCGCCAGGGCCTGCTCCGGACACTCCTCGCCTCCCTCCCCGGTGTCTTCCCACTTTGCCTGCTCCATGGCGGCCTGCGCGTTAACCCTTTCCCTCCTCCTCGGGACCACTGGGCTTGGGTTTCTACAGACAAGGGACAGGGACGCCCCGCCGCGCTCTGCCAAGGCAGGGGACACTTGCAAGCGGCCAGGTAGCCCTTCACGCGTGCAGTTTCCACTCCCCAAAGGCACCTATGAGTGCGGGTAGGGGTCTCCAGGACTGAGTGGAGATGAAGAAATGAATTAACCTCCCCACAGCCTGCAGAGCCCCTTCTGCACCCTGCCCCTGCCACAGTCCATCCCCAGCCCTGACGCATGTGCAGGGACCTTCTTAGGGGTCTGTATGTGAGAAGCCTTCCTCCCTAACTCTGTGTTGCTGGGACCCTGTCCCCTCCTCATCTCAGTTTGTGGAAATGACAGATGGCTGTCTCTCCTCACCCCTCACACACACACCCAGGCAGCCGCTGGCCCTGTGCCCCAGTCCTGTGCAGTCTTGTCTTTAAAGCCACCCAGTCCAGTCACTTCTCCCAGCGCCAGGGGCTGGCGCCTTCCATCCCCTTCCTCCCAGTCCCCCATACTTTACTGAGCACCTAATATGTGCCAGGGACAAACAGAACAAAGGGACAGGGAGAGGGGCCAGGCTGGGTGCAGCCCTAGCGCTGCCAAGCCCAGGGACCCCTCCTGCCAGGACTGTCTGCAGCCCCTTGTCGCGGGCAGCAGCCTGGGCCGAGCTGTCCTAGCGGCACTTGTGGCTGCCAGCAGTGTGAGTCTCACATGACTCCCAAGGTCACCTGGCGCTCCCCCACACACAGAATCGCGCTTTTGTGTGGTCGTCCCTTTGCCTGGGCCCAGCCTGAGACCAGGGAGGAGTGTGTGTGCCTGTGGGGTGGCAGGGAGCACTGATTTACTCACCTGTAAAGTGGGGGCAGTCTGCTTCCCGGAGACGTCCCTGTGGGGGGAGATCCCATGGCTGCCCCCTGCTCATCCTCTTCCTGTTCCTACAGAAGCCTGGCTGGTGGGAAGGTGGCCCTGCCTTGGGAGAGGCCTTCTTAGGGTGGTTTTTCCTCTCTTTTTTTTTAACCCTTTAAAGTCCGCTTCCCATTCTCTCTCTGGGCTCCTCAGGGAAAAGTTTATTGGTCCCAATTAGCAGCCCCATTAAGGAGGGAAATTGGAGTCCTAATGAGCTTTCCCTGAATGACAGGTTTTGCAGCCTCTGGGTGTAGGAGCTGCAGGGTGAGTGCCAGGGTCACACACTTCTCTAGCCCCCAGTCTGGGGTCAAGGGGTCGTGCCTGATGAGTTTTTAATTATGCTCTTATGCACTCACCGGTGTGCCTGAGTTGCAAGAGCAGGTGCAGGAATGGGGCCTGGGGAAAGGGGCCAGTGTGAGCACCGGCAGAGCCAGAGCACTCCTGTTCACTGGAGCAGGACTGGCAGCGTGTGGGGGAATAAACCTGGTGCAGGGGGAAGGAAGGACAACGGTGCAACAAAACAAACAAGGAGCCTCCCCTGTGTACCCCCTCTCCCTCCCTCTCCCCCACCGTAGGGTGCCCAGTGAGCCCTGGGATGGAGCCAGAGACAGTGCTGTGGGGCCCAGACGTGCAGGGGCCAGACCAGAGCCCGAGCCACACTGACGGAGGTGAGGGGGCACTGCCCCGCAGGACTGCGGCCCTGGGCTTGGCACGGGGAAGGCCAGGGGAGGGCAGAGTGAGGGAGAGGCCAGCCCCGTGGGGAGGTCTGAGGGAGACCCAGCGGATGGAGACTCCCTGTGTGTCTGTAGGTGCCGAGAGTGGGGACGAGGAGGAGAGCGCCCAGCAGGAGAGCTCCACAGAGGAGGCCATCCTGGAAGATCCAGCCCAGAGCCCAGAGTTCAAGGACACCGCAGAGATGCTCCCGGAGAGCCCCTCCCAGGATCCCTCAGCCCCCCGGGACACCCCAAGCCCTCTGGGTCACTCCACCCCTTCGGACCCCTCAGCTCCCGAGGGTGTTCCTATGCCGTCCGACTGGACCAAGGCCTGTGAGGCCAGCTGGCAGTGGGGGACGCTGCCCACGTGGAACAGCCCGCCGCCGGTGGTGGCCACCAGTGAGCCGAGCCTGCGGGAGCTGGTGCAGGGCCGCCCGGCCGGGGCCGAGAAGCCCTACATCTGCAACGAATGCGGCAAGAGCTTCAGCCAGTGGTCCAAGCTACTGCGGCACCAGCGCATCCACACGGGCGAGCGGCCCAACACGTGCTCCGAGTGCGGCAAAAGCTTCACGCAGAGCTCGCACCTGGTACAGCACCAGCGCACGCACACCGGCGAGAAGCCCTACAAGTGCCCCGATTGCGGCAAGTGCTTCAGCTGGAGCTCCAACCTGGTGCAGCACCAGCGCACGCACACGGGCGAGAAGCCCTACAAGTGCACCGAGTGCGAGAAGGCCTTCACGCAGAGCACCAACCTCATCAAGCACCAGCGCTCACACACCGGCGAGAAGCCCTACAAGTGCGGGGAGTGCCGACGCGCCTTCTACCGCAGCTCTGACCTCATCCAGCACCAGGCCACGCACACGGGCGAGAAGCCCTACAAGTGCCCCGAGTGCGGCAAGCGCTTCGGCCAGAACCACAATCTCCTCAAGCACCAGAAGATCCACGCTGGCGAGAAGCCCTACCGCTGCACCGAGTGCGGCAAGAGCTTCATCCAGAGCTCGGAGCTGACTCAGCACCAGCGCACACACACGGGGGAGAAGCCCTATGAGTGCCTCGAGTGCGGCAAGAGCTTCGGCCACAGCTCCACGCTCATCAAGCACCAGCGCACGCACCTGCGTGAGGACCCCTTCAAGTGTCCCGTGTGCGGCAAGACCTTCACGCTGAGCGCCACGCTGCTGCGGCACCAGCGCACGCACACGGGCGAGCGGCCCTACAAGTGCCCCGAGTGCGGCAAGAGCTTCAGCGTGAGCTCCAACCTCATCAACCACCAGCGCATCCACCGCGGCGAGCGGCCGTACATCTGCGCCGACTGCGGCAAGAGCTTCATCATGAGCTCCACCCTCATCCGCCACCAGCGCATCCACACCGGCGAGAAGCCCTACAAGTGCCCGGACTGCGGCAAGAGCTTCATCCGCAGCTCACACCTCATCCAGCACCGGCGCACGCACACCGGCGAGAAGCCCTACAAGTGTCCCGAGTGCGGCAAGAGCTTCAGCCAGAGCTCCAACCTCATCACGCATGTGCGCACACACATGGACGAGAACTTATTCGTGTGCTCTGACTGCGGCAAGGCCTTCCTGGAGGCCCACGAGCTGGAGCAGCACCGGGCCATCCACGAGCGGGGCAAGACGCCTGCGCGGAGGGCGCAGGGCGATAGCCTGCTGGGGCTTGGGGACCCCGCACTGCTGACGCCGCCGCCAGGGGCCAAGCCGCACAAGTGTTTGGTGTGCGGGAAGGGGTTCAACGACGAGGGCATCTTCATGCAACACCAGAGGATCCACATCGGGGAGAACCCCTACAAGAATGCCGATGGTCTCAGTACACCCCCAGCACCCAAGCCCCCCCAGTTCCGCTCACCCAGGCTCCCCTTCGGAGGCAACTCCTTCCAGGGGGCAGCGGAGGGCAGAGCTGAGCCCCCAGGACAGTCCTTGAAGACGCCCTCCGAGGGGCAGGAGAAGCCTGGCCAGAGGCTGTCCCCCAAGTCCTACATCTGCTCGCACTGCGGGGAGAGCTTCCTGGATCGGGCCGTGCTGGCGCAGCACCAGCTCACTCACGGCAGCGAGAAGCCTTTCCGGTTCCGCGACTACAGGACCGGCTTTGGTGACGGGCCGGGGCCCAGCCCCTTCCTGGGCGCCAAGCCCTTTAAGTGTCCTGAATGCAAAAAAAGCTTTGGCCTCAGCTCCGAGCTGCTGCTGCACCAGAAGGTGCATGCGGCTGCTGCCAAGGCTGCACGGAGCCCTGAGCGGAGCAAGGCCTCCTCCGTGCTGCTGGAGCACCTCAAGAGCCCGCTGGGAGCCAGGCCCTACAGCTGCTCCCAGTGCGGGGCCTCCTTCCCTGACCGCCTGGCCCTCGGCCGGCACCAGGAGACCCACAGTCCAGAAAAGCCTCCCTCAGCTGAGGACCCGTCTGAGTCCCAGCCCGAGCCTGAGGGTGAGCCAGCTGCCTCGCCCACTGGCCAGGAAGGTGAAGGTGAGGGAGAGGCCTCCGCCCCCGCAGAGAGCAGCAGGCCAGGGGAAGGGAGCAGCTCGGGCACACGCCCCGCGGAGAAGCCCTACCTGTGCCCAGAGTGTGGCGATGGCTTCGACGAAGTTGCAGCCTTGCTCCTGCACAGGAGCTGCCACCCGGGCATCTCCCCGTGATGTTGCCTGAGCCCTGGGGCCTCTCTTTCCTTCTTCCCCACCCCCAGGAGAGGGACACTGGATCCCCACCCCTTACAGAAGGGGTACAGGGAGAGGAAGGGCAACCCCCAATAGACTGGAAGCAGTGGAGAAGAGCGAGTTCTGGGGGGAGGGAGGCCGTACTGTCACCTCTGCCGTGAGAAATCCTAATGAAGTCGTTGGTGGGAATCGCTCCATGAGGCAGTAGAGAAAAACTGTCAGGTTAGAAACCCTATAAATATGTAGGAAAAACAAACAAGCCCTTTAAGACTGTAGCAGAAAAAACCCCTATAAATCATAGTGGATAAAAGCCCTATTAATTGTAGGCAGAAGTCCTCAATATGTCTCTAGGCAGCCCTATAAAACTGTATCCAAATCCTCATGTAATGCCCATAGGGCCAGAGAAGTACAGGGAATGCAGCGATGACGCTGGCTTGGGAGCTGTGACCCCCCTCCCCCCGAGAAGCCGTGGAAGAATCGCTTCAATACCCTAGCTCCACAGAGTCCTGCATTCCCCCTCCCCTGCCAGGGGTGTGTCGGAGGGACCCTGGGGCAAGGGTGGGACTGCACCAACCCGGGAGACAACAGGTCAGAGGGGAGAAGTGATGAGGCCTCCAGACAGGTGCAGGAGAAAGCCCAGCTCTTTGCATTGGGAACGCCTTGGGGTCCAAGGCCAGTCCTGTGTGTTTGAGGGGGTCAGATCCAATCCCTTAGCAGGAAGAACTCCCGACGTGGCGAAGGGAAGACGAAAAGTGTTAGGCCCTAATGCAGGCTGAACTTTGGGGGTGGGGTGAGAATACTAAGAAAGCACCACCAAAATGTGGCTGCTGGGGCTGGGGAAACCACCCAGCCAGCTGCAGGCCAGTCTGTCCCACGGCCAGGGAACTTGGGAAGCTGCAGGTCCTCCCCGAGCCAGGCTGCGCTGCCCTTGGCCCTGCCCATCCATACAGGTCTACCCCGAGGCGCCTCCGAGGGATGGAGGCTGCTCCGGCCACTTTCTCAGGTCAGGAGGTTTCTCCTGGACTCTTAACTGCCACCACGTCCCGCTGCTGTGGCAGCCTTTTGCCTCGCACTCTGTCCTCAGTGGAGAGGGGAGCTGCTGCTAAGACAACCTCCAAAGAATCAAGCCCCCCCGCAGGCACCTGCCAGTGGCGTGTGGGGAGGTCCCTCCCCGCTCTCACCTCTCTTCCAGGTCAGCCATAGCCACCCCACACCACACACCAGCCTTCTATGAGGCCACCCAGGGACGAAGGGTGGACAGAGTGCCTGGAATCGCCAGCAACCCGCTTTGCAACCTCAGCCGTTCACTGGGAGCTGGTGGCCAGGCCGCCCTCAGCACGAGCCAGCCCATATGCTGGGGAGGCACCTGACACCCTACAGACTGGACTCCAGATCCCTGGAGAATCCACAGACGCCCGCCACCCTCGTCACCGTGGTATTGAAGCCCTCTGGGGTGGCAGTGACCCAGCCCGATCGTGGCCTCGGAAGCGACAGGTTGCCACCCAGCTGGCTTCTGCTTCCTCATCCAGAAACCTCCGGAGGGAAGTGTGAGCCTCGGTCCCCTCCCATGCCCACCTCCCCTTGTCGCTGGCCACACACAGTTATAAACCCAGCCTGCTCCACCCACGGGACTGGGGGCGTCCCTGGAAACTGGTCGAAGAGAGAAAGCTTGGGGGAACTGTGTGACGGGCCCTGAGTCCCAACCCTGGGGACCCTGTGGCTGGGGACTCTGACTCTATACTGGGTCATGAAGGGCAGTGTCATGAACCCTACACACTGAGGTGCCCAGGTAAGAGGGCAGTGGTGTGGATTTCTGCTGAGCTGTGGACAACACCTCATATTCCAGTCAGTGGAGTTCAGCAGGTGAAAGCCTTCACCTTTTGTCTCCTTTTCGAGAACATTGTGGGAGAGAACAGCCCAGTCCTGCCGGGGAGGGAGGAGGGTAGACAGACAGAACCTCGTTAACCCAAGTGCCAGGCAGGAGAGCATCCAGATGCCGGGGCATCCCTAGAAGACAGGACAGGCGAGATCTCCCTGCAAGTGCTCCTGAACAGAAACAAATTCAAGTTGTAGAGACAACTCCCCTCACCGCCAAAGCATTTCCTCAGGCACAGGTCTGAGAGGGTCCTGGGGATGGGGGGAGGTCAGTGTAGCCAATGGAGGACTAAGGTGTAGCATACGTACATAGTAGGGTGCTCGCATGCTGTGGGGGATGGGTGAGGGCTTGGCTCTGGTTCTGAGTAGATGGAGTGCACTTGACAGGTGGGGTCTGGGTCTTACTGGAAAGAAAGGGGCAGCATTTGAAGCCTCTGGCTGCAGCCTTTGCCCTAATCTTCCTCCCCAAACCTGAGCCAGCTGTGTCTTGGGAGGGACCCTGCAGGGAGGTGACCGGGTCTGTAAGGCACAGTGCAGGCCAGCTTGGTGTCAGAGCCCACCGCCCTGCCCAGGGGAGAGGGGAAGCTAAAGCTGAGGCTGGAACTTGAAACTGCTGTGCCCCTGGAGGTCAGGTGGGAACTGAAAAGAACAGGCCCTGAATCCTGAACAAGAGGGGCCCTGAAAACCAACACAGCCAAGAGGCGGGGTTCCAGGACCCCCCTAAGAGGTGAGCCAAGCCCAGGCCCCTTGCCCCTAGGAGGGAAGTCCCACCTTTGAGTGTTGTGTGTCAGTAAGAGTGTCGTGTCACCTGTGGTCATGTTGATTAGTTAAAGAGAATAAAGGGAAGAAGATAGCCCAGGTGTATTCTGTTTTGTCTCAGTCTGGAGCTGGTTTTCCACCCAGAGGCCACCCTAGGCCCTAAAACCCCTACTGGGGCTTGCAGGAGGCTGAGGGGTCTAGGAGCTACACATCTGCACCCTTGGAAAGGGCAGAGGCTGCCCTGCAGAGCTTGTAGGTCATGGTGACACCCCAGTCAGTTCCCACCCAGCGTCTGCATCCCAGAGGCATCGCTCTGGCCGTCATACTTCAAGCCACCTCTTCCCAGGGAGTTCCCCAAACTCTGGGCCCAGGTTGCCCTGTCTGGTAGCCTGTTTACTTAGGGTTCGGCATTGCCACCCAGCCCCCTGAGGAGGTGGACGGAGGCCTGGTTAGTCACCTCACTCAGGATGTCAGCCTGTGGACAGGCCTGAGGGTCAGAGAAAGGCAGCTTTGCCAGAGATGCACCAGGAAGTTTGCGGAAAACCAGAATCCTGGGAGCCGAGGCGGCTCTACTCCAGACAAACCCTTCCTCCTCCTCCCCACAGCTGGGTCTGCTCGCGGTTCTAGCGCTTGACCACAGTCCCCCAGTGGCAGCCAGAGGTCACTGCCTGCTCCAGCCTGCCAAAGGACTCCTGATGCAGCCACCTTTCCAACACCTCTTGGCCCCAGAGCCCATCAGGAGGGGGCAAGGAGAAGCAGAGATGAAGGCAGGGGTGGGGTACCTGAATGGCAGGAGTCCTCAGTTAAAGCAAGTGGGGGGTCAGAGACTTAGCAAGGAGGGGCTGTGGACCCAGAGGGCCTGGGAAACGCGCTGGAGGAAGTGACCCAAGCCTGTTGAGGGAAGCAAAGCTGGTGAGCAGAGGCTGCAGGGCGTGGAGGTGGGGTGGCATTTTTTCGGGGAACTTAGAAAAGGGGAGCTACCCAAGGGGTGGTGTGTTTTCACTCCCCTGCTCCCCATCATGAAGAGTGATCCCTACGTCTGAAGTTCAACAAAGAAGGGGCCTAAAGGAGTCCAGTCTTGGCAGCTTAAGCATGGTCTTGGCTTAGGGGTATTAGGAAAAACCAGGAGTGTAGCACCCCAAAACCTCTAAGGGGGTTGAGAAGCGATCAGTATCAAATGCTCCCTGAGGGCCAATCCCAGCGGAGTCCTGGCTGAGACACCCGCCCTGAGGACGGCCTCGCCATGGGGAGTGTGGGGAGGGGCTGCGCCTGCTCAGGCTGGCCCAGGCTTCCAGTCACTGCACGTGTACGCGAGGACCCAGTCGGCCAGGTGGAGGGGCACACAGCCGCCATCACAGCGCTTCGTGGTAGACCGAGTTTACTGAGTGCTCATCTAGTCCTCCAACCGGCTCAGGGCTCGACGCCCCATCGAGATTTCCATCCTGTGCCCTTGGCTTTGGGGGCTTGGGAAAACCTCTTGGAGGCATAACTTACTATTGGGCATGAGGACCCATCCGCGCGACCAGCGGACTGGCCTTTAGGGAGGGGAGATGTGGCTCTCCCGCTGTACCTCATTAAGGAACGCTGTGTGGAGGTGACACACACGCAGGACCGGCGGGGTCCAGGCTCGGCGCCCCTTTCACCACCGGCACCCCACCCCCGCCAACGGTAGCTGCGTCTCTGTGATGCAACATCCTGCGCTCTTCCCAGCCTGGCCACCGCCGGCCTAACGCGGACACTTCCGCGGCGGCCCGATGTCATCCCCGGCAGCCCGCGGCTCGGCGAGCGTGCCCACCACCAGCCCTGCACCCGAGGTCACCGTCGCCCGCGGCTCCGTCTCCAGTCCAACTTGGCCCAGCCGCTGCTGCCCTGCCGAAGCCCTGGACGCCAGGTGGGGTCCGAGAGCGGACAAGGCCGCGAGTCCCCGCGAAGGCGCCAACACGGACAAGGCTACGGGTCTCCGGGAGGACGCAACTGCCGACAAACCCGCGTCTGCTATGACCCCGACTCCCGCTCCGGGACCGACCCCCATCCCGGTCAGTGCCGACCCCGCTGCCGACAGGGCGAAGGCTCTGTCCGTGGAGCCGGAAGCACGTTGAGTACACACAGGTGCTGCCCGGCACGTGGGCCATGATTCCCGAAAAGCTGGTCGGTGGCCGGGCCAGGCTGCAATGAAGGAAGTCACTCGGCAGAGATGTGCTGGTCTGTGCGTCCGAGGTGGGAGGGGCGTCTCGCTTCAGGATACAGTCGGGTAACCAGTTCTCGGTCCCAGTAACCGCGCCACGTGCTAACGAAGGACTACATTTCCCAAGTTGCACCTCGGGCCCCAACGGCCAATGACCGCTGGGGGCGTGGCCCGCTTGGCCGGAGGGGCTCCAGGGAACGCGTCCGTTATGGGTCTCGGGATCGGGCTCGTTCTAAGCATAATGTGGGTGGGCAGGAGTGTCGTGTTTGTTCACCCCAAGCCGCCGATGTGCGGGACCCCTGGAGCATCTAAAACTGAGGGCTGTTGAGGACAGAGGCCTGGCCGCTCTGACTCGAGGCTGAAGGATGGCCATTTATTTCTTAACAATTGGCTTATACAAGATATGTCCAGGGCAGAGGCTCAGGGTCCCCGAAGACCCAGGACCTGTCCACAGCGTCATCCCCAAGCTCCTCAAGAGGCAGGCAGCCTTGCCAAAGAACTGTTTGGGCAGCCAGCACAGCATACATTGGGGCATAGGCTCAGTCTCAAGGTGTTGGAAGATCTACCTGGAATGACTGCAAGTTGGCCCAGCAGCTGAGGCTGGTCGGTTCCCTTCCTGGGGAACTCCACAGCGGTTAAGGCCACTGGCATGAAAGCAGAGTTAGGGCCAGGGACCCAACGGGCACTCAGATGCACGAGCTGGGGGGGAAGAAGGGGGCAAGTGAGCATTAGGTAGTAGACACTGGGGAGGGGCCTGTTCCAAGTTTCCCAAAACCAACTGTATAGCCACAGCATGAGGTTATGACCCAGCATCCCAGAAGCTGCAGGTGGTGCCCACTCCCCCTATCTCCTCTAGTTCTTACCCCAAGGGCCAGTGTCCTGCCAACTTCACAAGGCACACAGAAGCCTTGAGCAGCCCTGTGCCCTTGGCCAGCGTCAGGCAGGGGAAATGAGGACTGGCCTGCTTGCCTCTGGTCTGTGGTGTGTAGGCGGGGGTCATGGTCACGGACTGGAGAACTGTCCCATGGGGACGGGGTCCTTGGAGACGTCAGGGCCAGCTCTCAGGAAGCGCCCCTGTGAGGCCCCTCTGGGCAGATCCTTCCAGTAGAGGGGGCTCCCTGGGCTGAGGGTCCCATCTTCAGGTAACAGAACCAGACCTGGCTGACCCCACTCCCATGAGCATGCTTCCAGGACCCCAAGCCAACTAGGTGGATACGGGTTGGGCCCATGGGGTCCAAAATAGAAGGTGGGGCCGCTGGAACTGAAGTGGAGGGCCTGGGGCACAGCCGCCAGGGCTGCAGGAGTCACCAAGTCCTGAGTGCCAGGTTCAGCTGATGTAGACGCGATGGAAGTCGTGGGCACCAAAGGCAGCGTTGCACTTGGGGCACTTCCTCTGGCGGGCCTCATAGCGGCCCCGCACGCACTCGAAGCAGAACACGTGGAAGCACTTAGTAAGAACTGCATCCTTCTTGCGGGTGTTGCAGCAGGGGCAGGTCAGCCGCGCCTGGGCCGGGCAGAGGCATCAGCTTGGCAACAACTCTTGACAGTGCCCAGCCCCACGCCGAGAGCAGGAGGGGATCCCAGCTCAGCCCACCATGTGGTGGCCATACCAGATCCTTACCAGAATCCTCCTTGAACGAGGAAATGGAGGCCCAGAGGCAAAGCTTTCCCAACCACAGAGTAGCCAGATTCCCACGGGGCGGCAGTGGTGGTGTACGTGGTACCCTCTCAGGCCAGGCTGGACACCCCCACCAGCATTCTTTGGCTGACCCCAGCCCTGCCTGAGCCACAGGTAAACACAGCAGTGCCACTGACGTCTGCCATCTCTACCCTCCCAGGGCTGCCCACAGGTCCTGCCGGGTCCTTCCAGCCCAAGCTCTCCCATCTGCCACCAACAGGGTCTTGCCTTCCCTGACACTTCTGCCTGGGGTCTTCCTGAAACCCAGCCCACTGCCTCTGCAAGATCCCAGATATGGCTCTTCCAGCTCTAGGGCTGCAGCTGGCAGCCCTGGACAGCTTCACTACCCACCAGTGTGCCTGCTCTGCTCGCTGCCTCGCGTTGCTGCCAACCTTCCAGGAAGCGTCATAGGGAGTCTGGGCCCTGGACTCACCACCTCCATTTCAGGGGTGACCACTGCTTTCATCCTGGCTGCAGGATACCACATCACTCTTGATCTTCCCCCACCCCTACCCCACCTTTCGGGACCACTGTCATGTGTGGCTCCACCTCAGCCCTCTGCCTTCGCTGCATCTCTCGGAACTGCCTGCTCTCAGTCTCCCGGCAACCTGTACCCTTCCTCAGGGCTTTCCTTGCGCTTTCCATACATGTGACCCATCCCCAAGCCCTAGGGACCTGCCTCCACACAGCTTCGAGTCCTAGTGGCGCTGTGTTTGACCCTTAGCTCAGCTCCTGACCCCAGCTTCCTGTGATGCAGACCGTAGGAGTCTGCAGGAGCAATGGCGCAAATAAAGGGGATCCTGCCACCCCCGTGGGAGACCAGGCTTGCGCGCCCAGCTCTGGTCCAGCCCAGTGCTGGCTGCGGGGTGGTACTTGGGAGTGAACCAGTGAACAGGAGCCTGCTTGTGCTGTCTGCCTTTTACAGAAAACATGACAGTAAGGCTTAAACATTTTTCTTTTGTGGCAAAATGGAATTAAAAGACTATCTCACAGCAAAAATTACTGAAACCCATATGGTGTTTTGATAACATACACTTTGTATGAAATGGAAAATGGTATGTGTGGATTTCAAAAATTTTTATACCAAAATAAATGTTATCTTTGAATTCCATTTTCCATTAACCTTAAAAAAATTTATTTTGCAAGTCAAAGTTACAGAGAGAGGGAGAGATAGTGACACAGAGAGACCCTCCATCCGCTGGTCCACTCCCCAGGTGACTGCAATGGTCAGGGCTGAACCCGGCTGAAGCCAGGAGCCAGGGGCTTCATCTGAGTCTCCCAAGTGAGCGGCAGGGGCCCGAACACTTAGGCAATCCTCTGCTGCGTTTCCTTGGGCCATTTGTAGGATGCAGGATTGAAGTGCAACAACCAGGTCGTGTACTGGAGCCCATGGGGGAAGTGGTGGCTCAGGGGGCAGCTTTACCAGCCACAGCACCGGTCCCTCCATTAGCCTTTTGAAGCTCATACTGCTCATCCCTAACACCTAAAGCCGAGTGTCAGATTTTGCTTGGCTGACTGAAACCGGGGACACTGACTCGCCTCTGGCCTTGGCTTCCTCCAGCCCCAACCCACGGTGCATGTGACTTCACTGAATCCTGCGTGACCTGGCCCTGCCACCATCCGAGCCCTGGGCGCAGGCTCCTCCACCCGTGCTGCATACTCCTTCCCCAGCCAGCTTTCCTCTCACACTCACTCCTCCTGCCAACCCTGACTCACTCTTCATTCTGGTCACCTTGGGGCGTGTCCTTTCCAGGAAGCTCATGGATTGCCTGGGGCTCCTGAAGGGTCTGTGCTTCCCAGAGGCCCTCAGGTCTCTGCCAGGGCATCAGGGTGGACTGGGGCACGCCCTCTGGTTGTGAGCCTCAGGAGGGCCCCCTGGACCAGGCACTGCACGTTCACAGCTGTCTCGGGCACTCAGTGCTACCAGGCTTTGCCATCTGAGCTCAGTCCCAGGTTCCCCAGAATACACAGGACAATTTCCATCAGCCCCTCATCTGGGACTGCTGGGTCAAGAAGCCGCCCCGCGCCCTGGGCCCCACCTTGTACTCCTTGATCTCCTCCTGGAGGATCTCATCGGCGTCGGCATAGACCTCCACCTTCCGCTGCTTCTCCAGCTTGCGCCGCAGCCGCGAGATGTCCTCCTGGGGCAGGATGAGGCCAGGCTAAGGGCTGGGGTCCCCACACCTGCCTATCCACCCTCGGGTGTGCGCCTCCCAGCACTCACCTGTGCCCTCTTGAGGTTGAAGCTCTCCTTCTCACGCGCAGCCCGGCTCTCGGCCAGGCAGGGCTGAATCTCACGCAGCCGCGTCTGCACGTGTTCCAGCTGCACCTTCAGGTCCTCCGCCAGCTGGGCGGCTTCCACAGCCTGAGGTGGGTGGGACAAGGGGGGGGGCACGTGGAGCCACGACTCTACCCTTTGCATGGGTCGCACAGTCCAGCGACATCAATACCTGCAGGGTCCTGCCTCCTCTTCCTCACCAGCGTGTCAATCGCTTCACTGGGCTCTGCCCTCTGCTCCCCTTACTCCCATACACACAGGGCACTTACTCCTTCAGTGTCTTGGTGCCAGTACCACACCCCTATTTCCCTCCTATGATCAACTGCAACCTTTTGCATCATCATTTACTTGTGGGTTCCCTGTTTTACTGGTGGTTCCAGGCCTGACTGGATGGCCACCCTGCTGCCCCTCTCAGAGGGGGCTAAGAGACACTGCTCAGTGCACCAGTTCCCTGAGAAGGCAATAGCCCAACAGGTAAAGATGCAAATAAGTACTCATCTTCAGACTTGAGCACAGACTAGGGCTCTCACGTTTAATACAAATTACGTGACCACCCTCATCTCAGAATGATTCAATGAGTAGTTAGGACATGGGTACCAGAGCCCCAGGGGACGCAGGCCTCCTGGCTTCACTTTGCAAGCACCACGCTGGACTCGGCTTGTTTCTCTCTAAAATGTGGACACTACCACACGGCAGCCTGGAAGGATTCTTATGAGATTAAAATGGGATCGGCACAGCAGGTGGTGTAGGGTTTGCCTTCCCTGGGCCGGCCCCGTCAGCTTCTCTGTGCGGACCCAGAGGCCAGGAGGCTGTGGGCCAGCAGCCCAGGCCCGGCCTCACCTTCCGCTTGTTGAGTTCCAGTGCCTGGCTGCGCAGCGTCAGCTCCTTCTCCACACCCCCGAGGCTGCCCTGCAAGGCCCGTTCCTTCTCCTCCAGCTTCTGCACGGTCAGCAGCTGGGCATCCACCTGGAGGCAGGTGAGGCTTCAGTGCGGGCGGCTGCCGCGGCCCCCTCCTTCTCCCTGCAGGCTGGGCAGGGGCCTACCTGGGACTTGAGGCCTAGGACCTGCTCGCCCAGCTCGTCCTTCTCCTCACGCAGCAGCTTGTGGATCTGGTTGGCCTTGATGCGCTCGGACATCAGCTTGAAGTTGGCGTCATCTTTTTCCCGCAGCTGCTGCAGCAGCCGCCCGTTCTGCTCCTGCATGTCTTCAAAGGCCTGACCCGTCACGTCCATCTCGGACAGGAGAGCCTCCTCCTCCTGCAGTGAGTGAGCATCGCCACAGTGAACCTGGGTGAAGGGGCAGCATGCCCACCGGGAACCGCGACAGAGGCCCACAGAGGTGCGGAGGGGTTTGGGGGAGTCCCAGCAGGGCTCGCACCTGCTTGGTGGCACCCAGCTTGCGCTGCAGATGTTCAATCTGCTCCTCGGCCTGCCGGATGCGCCTCAGGGCATCCTCATCGGCAATCTTCTTGCTCTCCCTCCGATCCCGTTCCTCCAGCTCCCGGATGCGGCCCCGCAGCTCATCAACCTACGGCCGCAGGGGAGCTCCTGTCACTGCTTCCTGCTGATGCTGGGCTGGGTGCCAGTCAGCACACCCCCTCGCACCCCGCCCCACATCCTGCCCCCCAAGCCCTACCTGCCCTCACCTCAGCCTTGGCCTTGCGCTCGGCGGCCATGAGCTGCACCTTGTCCCGCTGCTCCTTTGGGGCTGACTTGTACATGTCCAGCAGCAGCTTCATCTCCTTCTGGCTTTCCTGGGCCTTTCTGGGGGAGGACATGGGAGGAGAGCGTGGTGAGCCAGGCTGGAGGCCACCTGGCAAGGGTAGGGAGAAGGCAGGAAGAGGGCCTCACTTGAGCTCAGCCCGCAGACCCTTTAGCAGTTCTGACTCCTTCCTCTTGGCCTCCTCCACCTTGGCCTTCTCTCGATCCGCCCTGGAGAGAGCTGAAGCTATAGGTGCGGGCCCCAGGGTGGGCCCTTCTCGTTCCCGAAGCTCCCGCTTGGGTCTGGCCTCCGGTTCTCGGCTCCGTGAGGAGGGTCCCTGAGCCCCAGGAGTGAGGGCCTGGGCATCCTCCTCGGAGGGAACCAGCTCCTCTTTCTTCAACGAAGTGGTGGCAGTGGTGGCACCAGGAGCTGAAGCCATCTCCTTCCTGCTGGTGGGGGTCCCAACGGGGCCTGGGGCACCCTCTTCTTTCCCAGGGACTGGGGCACTAAGACCAGCGTCCTCTGGGTGGCCCAGGCTGGAAATGGAGTGAGTGGAGCCACTGGCCTGAGCCCGGAGCTGCAAAGATGGGAGACAAACAGAATGAGGTGAGCCTGGGTTCAGCGGGCTCTAGCCAGAGCCTTCTGCAGGCAGCCCCATCTCACCTTGCCAATCTCAGCCTGCACCTCTCGAAGCTTCCGCTTATACCGCTGGGCATCCCCCTTTAGCTGGTGGTTGTGGTTTTGGAGACTGCTAATCAGGTGGCGCATCTCCCGGTTGATGGGCCCTGGAGAGGGTTGGGTCGGAGCCATCAATACCACCATGTGGGAGGGGGACTATCCAGCACGTGGCCTTATCTGTCCAAGTGACAGACTTGAAGGATCCTCACCCAAGAGTAACCTGACACCACCCACTGGTGCTACTTGTGCTAATACAGATTTTAAAATAGCTCCCAATGTCCTCTGGTGCACATTTACAGGAAGTAGTCCCTTCTTGCCTGCCTTTTCATCACAGGAAGGGACCACCCTCAAGCAGACTGCCCAGCTTCTCCAGCCACACCTGACATGCCTCCCCTGACACCTCCTGAGGCAATTTTGCTCCCCGTTTTCGTGGTCCCACACTAACAGCCATGGCTCTGATCCTCCTAGAGCAGTGCACCCCCAACAACGGGACTTCTTTGTTTTGTTCACTGGCATAACCCAGAGCCTAGAATGCAGCTTGCTCTCAGATGGCATTGAAGGACTCTACAGAGTATGTGGGGGGCACACCGTAAGCTAAGGAGTGCAGCCAGGCCCACGGCTCCTGTCGGGGGTGCACTTACGGCATCAGCTGCTCCTGCTGCTGCTGGCCCTGGCTGTGCCTACGTGCCAGGCAGTACAGTCCCTGTCTTTCATGCAGCCAGGGCTTTTTGAGGGGACTCAGCCTCACACAGAGGCCATGTGCCAGGAGGCCCAGTGCTCCCCTCAGGCACCCCACATACCTGCCTGTTCGTTGGCTGCCAGGTTCTGCTCGAACTCGATGCGCAGCATCTCATACTCCTTGCGGACCTGGGCTAGCGTGTCCTCCAGCTGGATGACCTCCGTGCGCAGCTTCTTCTGCAGTCCCAGCTCATCGCTCTGCGGGGTGAGGTGGCAAGGGCCCAACAGCACCCCTGAAAAATCTGTGCCCAAGGGGTCTGGGAAGCTCAGAAACCCCTCAGTCCTCAGGGTGCAGCCGAGGCTCCCAGCCCCGCTCTGGGCCTACCTCCATGTGCTCGATGTGCCGCAGGTGGGAGTTCTTGGTAGCCAGCAGCAGCCCCCGCGCCTCATCCAGCTGCGTCTTCACTTGCAGGGACTCGTTGTAGAGCAGCGAGAACTGGGCCTGCAGCAAGCGGTACTCCCCCGTCTCCCGCACCACCTCCTCGGGCAGGCTCCGCAGGGCTACCTAGAGGCAGGGGCACCCAGAAGACATCAGCAGATTGACCTAGGAGATTAGCCCCGCCTGAGCCCTGACCGCAGTGCACCTTGAGGCGCTCGTTGGTCCGCACAGCTCCCTGGAGTTCAGCCTGCAGCTTCTCCAGCTCCGCCATTCGACTGTTGGCCAACTCCTGGTTTTCCTCCAGCTCCGCATTCAGCATCTCAAACTAAGGGGAGGAAAGCGCATGGCAGGCGGGGCCAAGCCAGGCAGCAGGTTCCCCTCCAACCCTGCACCCAAGCTGCTATGACAGACTCTGGGCAGGGCCTTTCTCTGGGCTCCTAAGCGGGAAGGAGACAGTTCAATTCCGCAAGGGAGCTCGGAACACTGGGAACTAACGTTCTTAACCGACATGAACCCAGGCAGGCATTCCTGAAGGGCAGAGGAGCCAAAAGGAAAGGGAAAATGGGGCATGAAAGCTACCAGAACGTCACTTGACTCTGCCACCTGCCCACTTCCTCCTCCTTTCTCTCCAGTCAGAGGCTAAAAGGCCCCATGGGCACTTTGCTCGGTCTTACTCTCACCAATCTGCCCAGTCCCTAGCACGTGGTGTTCAGGAATCCTCCAGAGTAAATGCACACATGCACATGTGTGAGACAGACACACAAGGAGAGAGCAAGGCCTTGGCGGGTCGGGTGGGGGGAAGGTGGCTCGGCTCACCTTCTGCATGCTGAGCGTGATCTGGCCCCCCTGGAAGCCTGCAGAGCTCCCAGACACGTAGTAGCCGGAGTTGAGCTGTAGGGAGCAGAGATGACAGGCGTGAGCAGGGGCCTAGTGCCTGCCACCCCCAGCCATGGCAACGGGGTACCGGGACAGGCTCACCTGCTCCAGGGCCTCTGCCAGGTGCTTGTTGAGCTTCTGCTCACGCTTGCGGAGCTTCTCGATGTCCCACTGCAGGTCCTCCACCGTCGTCTCCATCTCTAGCACTTTGGTCTCCGCCGACGTCACTTTATCCTGGAGCTCAGAGTACTAGCAGGGCAGAGGGAAAAAGCAGGCCACCTTGCCTCCCTCAGATCCTTGGGTGCCCTCGTCCCAACCCAACAGACCCTCTGACCCCCACCTCCAACGAGATGCGGTGGTGCTTCTCCTGCAGCTGTGTGGCCAAGTCCTGCAGCCTCCGGTTCTCACGACCCAGTTCCCGAGTGCGGGCCCGAGCCACTTCGTTTGGGGGTTCACTGTCCCCTGGGAAGGCAGGGCCCAGGTAAGAGACAAGTCTAGGGGCCGGGGAACAAGGTCTGCTACATGTCTGGTGTGACCTGCCCCCACCAGCTGACTTGCCGATATTTTGTGACAAAGCCAGGAGGAGTCCTTTACCTCTGGTTCTACAAACAAGGAAGTCGTTGGCTTAGGGCACCCAGGTGGGGCTGGGGCCTGGACACCTGCTGCTGCTATGCCTTGCAGGATCTGCCAAATGCCCCAGAGCCATCTCCAGCTGAACTGGGCACTCCCAAGTACCCACTTTGCTGGCTCATTGCTCTAGACTTTAATTCCAAGAATTAACCTGAGCCCTGGTTCATGTCCTGGCAGCCCTGCTTCCCATCCAGCTCCCTGCTTGCAGCCTAGGAAAGCAGTTGAGGACAGCCCAAAGCTTTGGGACTCTGCATCCACATAGGAGATCTGGAAGAAGCTCCAGGCTCCTGACTTCAGACTGGCTCATTACAGCCATTTGGGGAGTGAACCAGTGGGTGGAAGTTCTTCCTCTCTGTCTCTCCTCCTCTTTCCAATAAAAATAAATAAATCTTAAAAAAAAAAAGAATTGACCTGAAACTCCCCTCCCTTCTGCCAGCCCAAGCTAATCCTTAGCTATTCCTTCTGGAATTCTGGCTGCTGGTGGGCTCAGGCAACGGGCAGCGGGGATGAACGGCTCAGGGGGCGGAGCCCCAAGGCTTACCTCGGCTGTACACTCGCTGACAGAGCTCCTCCACTCGGCGCTGCAGCCGGTCCGAGGCCTCCACCACCCGCGACACAGCCGCCTTGGAGAACTCCATCCGGCCCTGCAGCTGCAGCTCCACCTCCTCACTGCTGCTGGCCCCCAGGGCCACCACAAAGGCCAGGGCCGGCTCGCTGAGCGGAGGCCGCAGCTGCATTGGCAGGGACTCTGAGAGGGAGGGACGGATGCCTATGAGGACAGCTGTGGCGGGCACCACCACTTGTACCACATTCTTGCTGCGCTCTGCAGCCCTCCACTGCTTCCTCTACATAGCCTACAGCACACGCCTGGCTGTCTCGAAAGCCGGACAAGTCTGGCCTCAGGAAGGCCACATAACTTATTTAGGAGCTGCCACATCAGTTCCTCACAGACCTCTGCAACCCAGAGTCACGTACACACACACACACACACACACACACGCGCGTACACCTGCCATACACCTGTCTCTTGCAAGGCTCCAACACTCTTTCCTTAGTGTGGCATATGCTACAATACTACAATATTAACCATGCAGCCAATATGCAGAACTATGAACAGGAATCAAAACACAAAAGACTGCCAACCAAGCAAGTCAGATGCTAAAGCTTTTTGCTGCCTAGGCATACTGAGGTGACGAGGACGACTCAGCAGCTGGTTATCAAAGTCCCTCCTCCTCGTCAGCACCCTTCCCTGAACTGAAGCCACCTCCTCCCCACCAGATCCCAGGACTGCGCCCTACCTACCCCTCAGCTCCGAGGTCCCCGGCTCTATGAGCGGGGTGCCGACCCGCACCAGCCCCTCCTGAGTCCCAGGCGCCTCTGTCCCTGAGGACAGCTCCCCTTGGCTCTCGTGACAGCGGAGGAGGGCTTCCACGGTCTCATCCAGCTGAAGGGGAGAGAAGCATGGACAAGTTAGCGAGTGCTCAGTGCAGAGGGGCAGTGGGATCCGGGGGAGGGGCAGGGGCTGTGCACCTGCGCCCAGTAGCGGTTGACAATGAGCAGTGTGGCATCGTCGGTGGCCTGGCGCTTCTCCAGCTTCTCAATGCGCTCGCGGAGCTCGTCCTCACAGGCCTGCCGCTGCTCCAGACGCTCGGCCAGCTTCTTGTTCTTGAACTGCAGCACCTTCAGGTCCATCTCCTCCTGTCGGCCGGCGACAGACAGTCACCGAGGAGGACGAGAGCCCTCGGACGGCCACGGTGCCACTTCTGTCCCCTGTCCCTTTCCAACTCTGGGGTCATACCCCCTCTGGAAACCCACTTCCTGTCTGCCAAGGGAAGCCAAATGCGGTGCTCTCGGTTTCCTTCCCAAGACCGGTCTGTAAAGGGGGAGCTGGGGGGTGGGATCGCTGGAGTGGGAGCTGGATGCTTTGGGAGGACGAGAGGCGCGAGCGGGGCAGCTCGGAGGGTGACGGCAGAAGCCCCCACGCACCGTGGAGGAGATGCCTCCAAGACGAATGGGCTCGATAAGGGTGGTGGTGGTCTTCTCCTCGCGGTTCAGCTTCTTTTCTGGGGGTCCTGAGCCCCCGTCGCTGGCGGCGCGTTTGTTGCCGGGCCCAGACATGGCTGCTGGCAGCGGCGGGGAGGAGCGGCGCACGGTCCCCCGAGGGGCGGCGGGCGAGTGGAGGCGGAACTTCACCTGCAGAAGGCAAGAAAGCAGAGACGTGGGAAGCGGTCGGTGCTTCCGCAGCCCGCAGACGCGCTCTCGCAGATGGCCTTGCAGCATCCCGCCCGCTCCAGCCCCGATGCCCTCACCCACAGCAGGATCAGCCTAGCGCCGCCATCTTGGCCTCCACCGGACGTCACCGGCCTCCCCCGCACACTGCGCAGGCGCCAGACGCCTAGGCGGATGTCGCAAAACTTCCCTATTTCCTGTTCCTATTGGTCGTGCTTGGGCCCCGCCCCTCGTGTGATTGGATTCCTTCCTGAACGCCCTCTCTTTCACTTGGCGATTGGCAGGCGTACGGTTTCCATGGTAACCGACACCGCACTCTCACTTTCCAGCCCTGAGCCAACCTTTCTGCTGGCAGCATTGAAGAGGGCACCCCCTGGAGTAGTGGGGGGCATCCGACGCACATGCATGTGCACGCCCCCCCTCAAGGATTGGGATGCCTCCTTTACTTTCTAAACATGTCCTCTTAGCAACGGTCACTATGGAAACGGGCAGAGACGCTTCTCCCCCTCCCCGCTCCGCGGTGGATTGGCTGTGTCGGAAAGATGGTTTTAGGGTCGCTGGAAGGCTCGAGGAGGTGACGCGAGCTCCGCTGTCGCGAGAAACACCGGAGGCCCGGAGGAGCGGCGCCATTCACCGCGAGTGACGAGGGTTTAGTCGGAGTTTGAACCGCCCTGCAGGTTGAGGCAGAAACTGGAGGAAGAGCTCGGCTCGAGAGGTGTCTGGACCATGCAGATGGATCAGGGTGTGCCCACCGAGTCGGCCACCGCGATGGCCCCTGAAGACCCTGCAGCCAGCTTGTTCCCGGTGAGGGCGGGATGCGGTGGTCTGCTCAGGAGCTTGTTTGAAAGGGTACTTAGTAATGTCCCAGACCTTTCCTGGTCAGTATACTCGAAAACAGTGTTCCTGGGGCTGGCCGGCCACAGTCCTCCAAATGAGGCGACCAAGCGGTGCTTAGGGAGCAGCCACACCCCGGCTCTACCTTCCCAATGTGCTTTCTCTCCACAGCCGCCGCTGTCCCAGCCCCGGATTTGCATGTGGTGAGTGTGGAAAACTTCAGGGAACAGTGTTGGGTCTCCTCTCATAGGCGCACTCAGAGACCAGGGCATTCCCACTTTAAAACCGAGACCCAGGCATGCCTGGGTAGCCAGAAGGCAGCTCTGGAACCTCATCGTCCCAAGGAGGTGATTGAGGGATTGAGGATGTAGACGGACCATCATGGCAGCCATAGAGCCTCATATTAGTGCAAACGGCAGCCCAAGTTGGGCTTTACAAGTGGGAAGGATTTTGAGGGTTTGAGGAAGCCAGAGAAAGGAAGTGGCACATGCAAGATTACAAGCACATAAGTGGCAGAGCCAAACCTTACACTGACTGGGGCCTGATGCTCTGGCAATTTGTAACCTGCCCTGAGATGCTAATACAAGAGCCAGCAATACCTGTTCCCTCCCTAACAGGAAGTATTGGGACATTCATTCCATGCAGCAGCTGGAGAAGACCACCACCATGGACGAGACCAGGAAGTACGGGATGTGGTGGCGGGCTGGGATGGGAGGACAGGAGAGGTGGCTGGTGGAAGGAGGCTCCTATGGTCCTCATCCCTGCCCAGGCTGCTGGCTGAGATGCTGGGGCTCAGCTGCCCATCGCAGAGCCCACGGGATGCCATCTTGTTGGACCTCTTCTCCCACGCCCTGGTCTTCTGCCGCCAACAGGGCTTCTCGCTTGAGCAGACGTCTACAGCGTGTGCCCTGCTGCAGGACCTCCACAAGGCCTGTGTTGGTGAGAGCGAGGGGACGTGGGTGTGGAGGACTGTCCCCGAGGCCCTGGGTTCTGTCATTGCTGTTATCCCAGGTAAACTCACTGCCTTTGTGGGAGATACCCAGGATGCTCACTTCAGAAATAAGTATGCAAATGTATGCAGAGTGCTCAGTCCACCAGCTGCCCCTCCTGTTCTCCCCAGTCTTTCTTTAGCATTTTTAGCAATCACTGAAGCCTTCTATGTCTTCTCTGAGCCTCACTTTACTAAGCTCATGAAGGATAATTCTGTGACTAGTGCATGGTGAGCAGGGGTGCGGGGCGGGGTCGGTCCTCTGGGAAGGAGACTCACTGCTGCCCCCTGCTGTCCCTGTCAGCAACGCCTCTGGGCAATGTGGAGGAGTGCTACCGCTACTTCAGCAGCATCCTTTTTTGCCATGGAATCCGGGTCAGTACCTTGGATAGAGCCTGCACTCGCCAGGGACCCCTCCACAAGAAGAGGTCTGGCTGGGTCTGCTGCCCTCTCTTGCTTCATCCCCCTAGCCATCCTCTGAAGGATGGATGGGCTCTCATGGGGAAAGGGTCATGGCTTGGGGAGGGAGCCCCGCTCTCAGCTCTCTCTGCCCATATTTGCCACAGCGGCCCCCATTCAGCATCGACCTCTTTAAGGAGGAACAGCTGCTGGCCCTGGCCGACTATGTAGTCAACACCTACTTCCGCCACTTCAAACTCTACAAATACGTCTTCACACCCCAGGTACTGCGCTGGGGGGTGGGGACACCTGTGCAAGGCCTCCCTGCCTCCCCCTGCCTTCCTCTCAGCCCTATCGTCCTCTCTTGCCAGGTGCGGCTGGATCTGTCTTTGACTTATGTCGGGCTACAACCACCCAAGCTCTTGCTAGAGCGTAAGCTATGACGGGGAGAGGGCTGGGGCTGGGGTCAGGCTCAGGCCCAAGGCTCTTCCTGCCTTTGTCTTCCAGAGAAAGAAGGTGAGGAGGCAGAGGAGCTGGCTACCTCCCATGAGGAGGAGGCACCTGAGGGAGAGGCCCAGCCAGAGCAAGAGCCAAGTGAGGCCCTGGAGGGGTTGGGGTGTTGGCCTGGGACCTCACCCAGTGGGAAACCAAGGGGGTTGGGGCCACATTGAGCCCTCAGGCTTCCTCATCCCTGGGGTCCTTGCCCTAAATGGCTCCTTCCCAAGGAGGGTGACTGGGAATCCAGTGACAGCTGGCACATACTTGGCACTTCCAATAACCAGGATGGCACATGTTGAGTTTTCTGTGCCACTGCTTATTTAATCCACCTCTTCCATCTGTGTGCCTAACAACAGCAGTTGTTTTTATCCACATGACCTGCGGAAATGAAGGCATGGAGAGGTAAAGTGACCTGAGATCACACAGCTACTGTGCAGCTCAGTCATTTGACCCCACCAGCTCTCAGAGGGGCTAGTCAACATGTCCTGTGACAGCCACATCCCCATCTTTGTGGTCCCCCGGGGCACCTTGTGTGTGTGTGTACACATATACACGTGCTCACCTAGGGCTCTGTGTGTGTACATATGTACACATGTGCTCAGCTAGGGGTGATCCCTCCTGCCCAGTACTATTCCTGACCTCGCCCCTCTTGCCGACCCCGTAGGCCAGGTCTGCGCCCTCCGCACCTACATCAAGACCCAACTGAACAAGGAGCTGGGGCAGCTCCAACAGCTGGTGGAGGAGCGGCTCAAGGCCAGCGAGGACAGACTCAACAGCAAGCTGAGCACGCTCGAACGGCCCTTGCAGCCAACTGCCGCCAAAGGGAAGAACAAGGCCAAGTGAGCCCCAGCTCTGGGACCCCAATAAAGGCCTAGGCTGGAGCTACCCCAATCCCTGCCCAGTCATTCTGGGCACCTCCCGGGCATCTCTGTGGCAGCCAGACACCAGACACAGGGTGCCTGCTCTCCCCAGCAAGATGATTTTATTTCATGCACAGGCGCGGTGTCTGCATTGGCTCCTTCCCGCCCCAGCCCTGCTCCCCCAGCCCTGGCTGGCGAGGCAGGTGTGCAGGGCAGGAGGCTCTGATAGTGGCATGATTGGCAGGGGGCCTGAGGCCCAAGCCCTGAGGGCTGGAATGAAAAAAGAAAATCTCCTTCCTCCAGAGTCCTGCTTCCCGGGTTCACCCGGGGCCCAAGGACTTAGCCCAGCCCCAGGGCTGCCTCATCCTCATTGACAGCAGCTGAGTCCCCTTCCTCTTCAGGGCCCACAACAGGAAACGGAGACAGGGGCCGGTGCTGGAAGAGGGCTGCTCGGTTCTGCTGCTCGCCCTTCTTCACCCAGTGCCCGTAGAGCCGAAAGGCACAGTTGTCAATGAGGCGCCGCACCGGCCGCAGGGCGTAGGGGTCCCTCAGCAGGGCGCTCTTGGTCAGTGGCCGGAGGCGCTGCATGCTTAGTGCCACTCGCCCAGCAGCCAACACGGTCCACACAGCCACCTGGGGGTGAGAGCAGGGGGCAGTAAGGCAGCGTGAGCTGCCGTGGAGGCGGCAGCACGGGGAAAGGTCGTGGGCCACGGCCACAAGCACGGACTTACCCGGAACCGTTGGCGGGGTGTGAGGTTCCAAGGCTGGCTGCCTTGGCAGCGCTCAAAGAAGGGGTGCTGCAGGGCCTGCTCTGCTGTCAGGCGCTCTTCAGGGTCTACCTTTAGCAGCCTTGAGATCTAGGGGGAAGCTTGGTTCATGACGATCAGTTCAGGGGGTTTGCCCACCATCCTCTCCCAGCCCCAACTCACCAGGTCTTTAACGGTGCTGGACCGATCATCCCACTCGGGAGAACTGAACTGGTACCGGCCCTCCATGATCATGCGCAGCATCAGGATCTGGCGCCGATGCCAGAATGGTGGGGAGCCCGCCAGGAGTGTGAACAGGATCACCCCACAGGCCCAGCTGGGTGGACAGACACACAGCAGAGTCAGGACTGGCCCAGGGGATGGGCTGGGTCTCCAGGGGAGGAATGGGCCAGATACTCACAGGTCGACTTCCTTGCCATAACCTGGGTGGGTTTCATCCATGGAGCATTTGAGAATCTCTGGTGCTAGGTACCCTGGGGTCCCACACAGTTCTGGGGAGAGAAGGGAGAGAATGAGGGCCTGTTCCAGCCCCTCCCCAGGCTTTCATCACTTCCAGTGCCCTCAGCATCCCCTTCGCCTCCTGCCTGGCTTCCACTTCTCCATCCTGACACTGTCCCAGTTCAACAACTCAGACATCCGCCAGCGCTCCTGTGGGCCTTTCCAGGGAAACCCAGTTTGGGGGACAGACTTCCAAGTCCAACTAAGGCATCCGGTCAAGCCAGCCTGCCTACCCCTTAACACAACTCGTTGCCTCATTTCTGAAAGGAGAACAAAACTTCAATCTTCCCTTTTTTCTGCCTAAACATTGTCCTCTCTTTGGAATGAGTTCCATGTCTTACTAGTGGGCCCCACCCCGACAACGTCAGGAAACCTTGGGGAATTACGGCATTTCTAAAGCTATGTACTACTGGCTCTGTTCCTTGTTGACAAGCCTGCCCTGACCTCCCCTGACAGCAGGATGGAGCCGACAGCCCACATACAGCTCAGGGCCCTTGAAGACTTGCTACCAACTCTTCCATCCCCACCATTTCCAAACTGTGTTCCACGGCACACTTTTAATCAGCTAGAATCAGAAATTACTATTGGAAAATTCCTTCCCCTACTAAGCACTTACTGAGTTCCCCGTATGGACTAGGCACTGTGTTAGACACAGTGGTGAACTAGATGTGCCTTTACTGAGTGCAGCCTTCCAAGAAAGCAAATGAAAAATAACAGGAGGGCCCAATGGCGTGGCCTAGCGGCTAAAGTCCTCGCCTTGAATGTACCGGGATCCCATATGGGCGCCGGTTCTAATCCCAGCAGCTCCACTTCCCATCTAGCTCCCTGCTTGTGGCCTGGGAAAGCAGTCGTGGACGACCCAATGCTTTGGGACCCTGCACCCATGTGGGAGACCTGGAGGAAGTCCCTGGCTCCTGGCTCCGGATCAGCACAGCATTGGCTGTTGCGCTCACTTGGGGAGTGAATCATCAGATGGAAGATCTCTTTCTCTCCTCCTCTCTGTATATCTGACTTTGTAATAAAAATAAATAAATCTTATAAAAAACAAAAAAAAAAAAAAAAAGAAAAGAAAAATAAGAGGAAAAGATGCATGTCATACAGGGAGAAGATACCAAGGGCGAAAAGCTGGGGCCTAGCCTGACCTGGAGGTTTAAAGTGAAGTCTGAACTACTCAAACCAAGGAATGGGGGGAGGGCGAACGAGCAGGCACAGAGAATTCCTGAAAGAGGAAGACAGGTTAAGAGGGAAATAGATCACAACATTCAGTTGGCCCAAGTTCAAGTTCACATCCTGGCACATGGTCTGGGGTAAACCATCATACTTTTTCCTTGGGAGGGTGCGGGGTCACTTAGGCCCCCCCTCTACAAAAGGAGATAAATATACAGCATCAGTTCTCTGGGTCGTTGAGAGGATTTACAAATAGAACCCCTGCCAATGTTTGCTGGGGTGCATGCCTAGCAAGCCCCGTGCAGAGCAAAGGCAGAGAGAAGCATATGAGACCCTCAAGATGCCCACAGATGAAAGTCTCCCACTGTGTTTCCATCACAGCTAGCGCGCTCTGACATTGGGTGAGGCAAGCAACCTCAGGCCTGGGGCTCCCTGCCCTCCCCAGCCTCACAGGGCTCAGGGCTCCTCACCTCGAAGCTTCTCACCAGGTTCCAAGTGGCAGGAGAAGCCAAAGTCCGAGAGTCGGATCTGCATGTTGTCATCCAGGAGGATGTTCTCGGGCTTCAGGTCTCGATGCACGATGTTGTTGGCATGGAGAAAGCTCACTGCTTCCAGCAGAGACCTCATGATGACCCTGGGGAACGCACAGTCTCTCCTCTGCTCCTCTCGGTCCCCCCCTTGACCCCCGCTCTCCCCAGGAGGAGCCGAAGCCTGGCCCATTACCTGGTTTCCTTTTCTGAGAGGGCCACCTTCTCGGTGAGGTAGTCAAATAGCTCTCCCTTGCGCATCCTAAGGGGAGCAGGGGTACAGGAGGCAGCTGCATTCCACGGCAGGGGCTGAGGCAGGCAGCCAGTGCTCGCTCAGAACCTCACATCAGAGTCCTCCCTGGCAGACACACCTAAAGGTCTCAGGCAGGACACTGCAAGAGTGATCTGGGTGCCAGGGGCAACTTGGCCCATTGTACTGGTCACTGAAACACCCGTCTTATGCCATGCCAGGCAACAGAAAGTGACTTGCATCATGGCAATAATTTTTAGGAGGTTCTTGTTAGCTCTGAAAATAACTATATCGGAAAAAGGCTTCTATTAAGAACATGGACAGAAGTTTCAGTTGATATTGGCAAAAAGGTTGATCAGGACGTTGCTTTGAAACCTTACTTGTCTCTAAAAATTGCAAGTCCCAACCTCCTCTCAAACTGCTCCCTGGGCTGGGCCCCACAAAGGCAGGGGAGACTTCTGGAAAGTTCTCAGGGGCCTCTTTCAAGTCTTTGGCATTCAGGTCATTTCCTTTCCAAAGACCTCTGCCATTGGCTTGCCGCCTCTTGCATAACAGCTGACCTCAAGTCAGACTGACCGGAAAGAGATGAGTAGGGCTGGACAGTGCAGTGGACTGAGGAGTAAGACAGTTGGTGAGTAAGGATCTGTTTTAGACCTGGTCCATTCACTGACAAACAGCCTCTTCTTAAAACAGTGTTGGCCCCTGTTTGTCCTCTAGTGGGAGATGAACACAGAACAGGAGTGGAGGCAGGGAGGACAGGGACCCTGGGCTTGTGACAACCATGACTCCTGCCTCAATCACCTAGGGAGAAAGGATGGGTGGGCAAGGGGGACAGAGGCCTGGCTGGAGCAGAAGCAGGTGTCAGCAGGGCAGCTGGAAGGAGGGGTTACACATGGAGGCAGTGAGGAGGCTACTCCAGCTGGGGCAGGAGGATACTCACAGGTCAAACACCAGGAACATGAAGCTAGAAGACTCATAGGAATCGATGAGTGTGACTGGGGAAAGAGGCAGAGAGGCGGAGATGGAAAGGAGCGGACAGCTTCCACCTTCCACCGTGAGGCAGCAGTGCACTGACACTGGGCGGGAGGGAACACTAAAAGAGGCAGGGGGCACCCAGAGGCTGGCCGCTCTGTGAGGGGGGTCAGAGCCGGGAGGGAGGGTGGAGGAGAGGCCCAGAGGCAGTGTCTGTCAGGGGAAGTGGGCTGTGGGCAGGGCCAGCTAACAGGAGTAGGGAAGGCAGCCTCACTGATGTGGGGGTGGCCGGCGACCTGGCGAAGGATGTGTGTCTCTCGCCGTGTGGCTTCCCGCACCTCCTCCAGCTGCTCAGGACTCAGCCGCTCTGCTGTCACCTCCATGATCTTCACGGCGAACTCGTTGCCGGTGGCGCGATGAACACATCGACGAACCACAGAGCTCACGCCTCTGCCACAACCAGAGGACAGCGTTAGTCGGGGCCATTCCTACACACGGGACAGAATCTCAGCGCCCTCCAGGCTGCTGTGCCAATCTGAAGACCCATCTGGACGGCAGGACCAGCCCCCTAGCTTCCAGTGGCCTCATGGTAGTCCTGAGAATGCTGGAGCCCAGCAGGGCTCAACATGAAGCTTACAGGGAAGGCGGGGATCCAGGGCTGCAGCTGAGGCTCAGCTACTCGCTCCAGGGCTGAGTGGAAAGTCCTTTCACCCCAGGCCCCAGAACCAGGTGAGCAGGATGTGTCAGAGTCTCCCTTCACATTTCATTCACATTTCCCGTAGTACCCAGCTGAGTGCCAGAGTTCTCTACGATTCACGTGCAGCAGACCTTGAACAAATACACAGTCATTCACTGCAAGACCAATGTTGAGAATCACACCTGATTTGGACCCCAAATTTGCCACCAGTTAAACTCCCAGTGACCCGCTGGCATAAAATTTTAATGCTGTGGGACACAGTGGCATACTGGGTTAAGTCACAGTCTACAGTGCCAGCATTCCATGTGCTCACTGGGTTTGAGACCCAGCTGCTTTGCTTGCAATCAGCTCTCTGTTAATCCACCTGGGAAAGCAACGGAAGATGGCCCACGTGATGGGCCCCTGTACCCATGTGGGAGACCCAGAAAAAGCTCCCGGCCCCAGGCTTTGGCCAGGAATTACCCCAGTAATTGCAGCCATTTAGGGAGGGAATCAGTAGATGGAAGATCTCTCTCTTTTCTTTCTGTATAACTCTGCCTTTCAAATAAATAAATATAACTTTAAAAAGTATTATTTCTGGGCCTGGTACGGTAGCCTAGCAGCTAAAGCCATCACGTTGCATGTGCCAGAATCCGATATGGGCATTGGTTTGTGTCCCGATTGCCCTGCTTCCCATCCAGGTCCCTGCTTGTGGCCTGGGAAAGCAGTTGAGGGTGGCCCAAAGCTTTGGGACCCTGCACCCGCGTGGGAGACCCAGAGGAGGAGCCTGGTTCCCGGCTTTGGATTGGTGCAGCTCCGGCTGCTGTGCTCACTTGGGGAGTGAATCATCTGATGGAGGATCTTCCTCTCTATCTCTCCTCCTCTCTGTATATCTTTGTAATAAAAATAAATAAATCTTTAAAAATAAAAAAGTAAAAAATTGAAACATTTGTCCCACCCATCTTCCTTGACCCACCCTCCCCTAATTAGAGACCCATGGGGGTGTGCATGCCTCTCAACTATATAAACAATACTAATACAAATAGACATTTTAAAAAAATTAAGTAATTAAGTAATATGACTTCAATATTCCTAGGAAAAAACAAAAACGTCCAAGAGCCTCAGACGGGCCCAGCGAGTTCAGCTAGAGAGACCCGTGTAAGGCCCTGTGGCTGCCCTTCTGGCCCAGCTCCCCGCTGACACCTGGGAAAGCAGTGGAGGACAGCTGGAATGCCTGGGCCCCAGCCACCCTTGTGGGAGACTAGGATGAGCTCCTGAGTCTTGTTTTGGGACTGGCCCAGCCCTGTGGCTGGAGAGGCCGTTTGGGGAGTGAAGCAGCAGATGGCAGAGCTGTCTCTGTGTAACTGCCTGTGAGTAAGGCACAGACACAAGCCTGATCCATGTGGACTGTATGCTCAGCAAGCGCCACAATGAGTTCTAGAAGCATCACAGTCCACTGCAGCCTGTCAGGAGGCTCCCCGTTTATTTGTTCTCAGTTTACATGGAGAAACAAGAAGGCACGGAGAGGTTAAGTAAGTTCCTTGCTTCTGAATTACAGGAAGACTTGACACATCATTGTATTAACCCTGTCTGCAACCATCCTCCTTTACTGGATTAAAATGTGGCTCCAATTCCTTATCATGACCTAAGGCCCCACAGAATCTAGGCTTTAGTTACAGCTCCAGCTGGGGATGGGTCAGGCTGAAGTCTGGAGCCTGGAACTCACTGGGGTCTCCCACGTGGGTGCAGAGAGCCCAGGCACGTGGGCCATCATCCCCTGCTTTCCCAGGTGTACCGACAGGGAGATGGATTAGACACAGAGCAGCCACAACTGGAACCGGTGTTGCCATACGGGATGCCGGCATCCTAGGCCAATGGGTTAACACGCTGTGCCACAATGCGGTGCCTCCAACCCAACTTCTTCCACATTTCCCCATTCTTGCTACATTCCAGCCACTCAGATCTTCTTCTCTTGAATGCCAACCTTCCTAGGCCTGCTTCTGCCTGCTTCTCCTCCCTCAGGACTCAGTTCTACAGCCCAATCCCCCCACCACACCCCCTTCATCTATTAACAATGACCTTCCTTCATTATGCTCATCGCATCACCCTATTCATTTTCCAACTTGTCTGCATTGTCTCATCTTTTTCTATTACTAGAGCCTGAACTTCAAGGTTGGAAATTTCAGGGGTCTTGTATTTCCAATGCTAAACACACGTGCTTTTGGAAACCAGTGAAAAATGACCTAGTCTCTGCATTTTGGACTCCTAGTCATATGTCAAAACCCAGCCTAGAGGTTACCCCTTCAAAAAACCATGGGGGTCCCAGACCTGTAACCCTATAGTCTGACATTTCTACCAACCCCATAGTTAGTTTAGTTTGGTCCTGTCTCACCTATGTTTACATAACACATAAATGAATGAATCTGTGTGTGCCTGGGAAAACATGGGAAATGACCTGGAAAAAGCCGAGTCACCAAACGTGCAGAGACCCCTGACCCTACCCCGTCGTACACGATCCGGCCCTGGGTCAGAACCGCTGCTGTCTGGACTAAGACCCCCCCACCCTCGTTGCCCGGGATGCGGCCTCACCTGCCAATCACGTCCTTAGGGTCATACTTCTGGTAAAACTCCTTGGCCGCGGCCCAGTCGGGCAGCTCATCCTCCGGCCCCACATCCAGCGTCATTCTGAAAGAGGCGGAGGCCTGTGCGGAGGACACGGAGGGCATTGAGGGCAGGGAGGCCCACAGGCTCTGAGACGACGCACATCGCGACTCCCGGGGGCGCAGCCCTTGCGGCTGGGGCGCCAGGGTCTTGGGGGCTGGGGGCGGGGTGGGGGAGGACAGGGACCGGGGAGAGGCCGCAGAAAGGCCGAAGGGGCGGGAAGGGTGGCAGGGCAGGAGAGGGGACGGGGGAAGGGAAGGGAGGGTGCTGGGGGAGAAGGGGAAGTGGCACTGGGGCAGGTGGCTGTTGCTGCGCAGGCGCACTCGGCGGGCGCTCGGAGCCGGCGCGGGGTCCCGGCCAGGCTCACCCGCGGGGCGCGGGCAGACGGGCCAGGGGGTCGACGCGAGGCCGTTCGGCCGCCCCGTTCGCTAGGATCTTTACCCACGGACGGCGCCGGGAACTGCTAGGGCTCCACCTCCACGCCACTGGCCAATGGCCTGTGTCGTCAGGAGACAAAGCTTCAGAAGCCCTTCCGATTGGAAGTCGCTAGTCCAATAGGAAGCCGAGAGTTCCGGGGCAGGAGCAGGGATTGGAGCGCGAGGATCCCTTACCGCGACCTTAGAAGAGGGTAGGGCTCCGGGCACAGCCAATCAGCGCGTGGCATCTGCGGGAAGCACCAGAGGGTGGAGCTTGTTGTTAAGCGGCTTTGGAGGCTTGGCCTGAGACCCGGAAGTTAGATCTGCCGGGAAGCGTGTCTCCGGGGCGAGTGGGAGAGTGGACTTGATTGTGCCTCCAGTTCCTGCGCGCCTTCAGTCCACTCTCAGCTTCCCTGTCGGAATTCAGCAGCTGGGTCCAAAGCGACTCTCTTGAAAGGTGGACTCCAGCTCTGAGTAGCTGGATACATGCAGCTTTGAGACCCGCTCACCTGTTTGGTCAAGATCGTCAGAGCGAGCCTGCTCTTTTGGCTACCAGGTTACCTCGGATGACCACGTGGGGTTTCCCAGAGCCTTGGGGTGTATCCTGTAGGTCCACCAAGTTCTGAGACTGTCCCAGAAGTGATTCATGTTTGATACTTGTAGGCAACTCAGCCCTGGCAATAATTTTACTCACTCAACAAATATTTGTTGAGTGTCAAAGACCTTGGGTGGCTAACTAACGGCAGTGGAGAAAAAAGCATCTGTGACGTAGCAGAAAGTAAACAATGAATTTATACCTCAACAACTACCTTAGAAATGTCACGGTAGGGTACAGCATGGTAACCTACTGGCCAAAGTCCTCGTTTTGCACCTCCGGGATCCCATATGGGCGTCAGCTTCTGCCCCAGTGGCCCTGCTTCCCATCCAGCTCCCTGCTTGTGGCCTGGGAAAGCAGTTGAGGATGGCCCAAAGCCTTGGGACCCTGCACACACGTGGTAAACCTGGAAGAAGCTCCTAGCTCCTGGCTTCAGATTGGCTCAGCTGCTGCCACTTAGGGAGTGAACAAGTGGATGGAAGATCTTTCTTTTCTTTTTTTAAGATTTATTGGAAAGTCAGATATACAGAGAGGAAGATCTTCTGTCCGATGATTCACTCCCCAAGTGAGCGCAACGGCTGATGCTATGCCGATCCATATATGAAGTTCAAATACAGGCAAAAGTAAACCACATGGTTGGAAGTCAGCATTGTAATTGCCTAAAAGAAGGAAGGAAGAGAGGGATGGAAGGAGGGAGAGAGGCAGGAGTGATGATCAGGAGGGGCATAATGCAGGCTTCAGACGACTGACAATCTTCAATTTTTCGAGTAAATGGTTATTGAGATGTTTGCTTTGTGTTCAGTTACCCCTAAGTGTACATCTGCTTTGGGTACTTTGTTTTATATAATTCAACAAATGTTCAATGTTTAAAATAGTATACAAATATGAAATACATGATATTATTATAATCACACACATCCCCACGGTCAGAGTGGTTGCTGCTTTTATCTCATCCCTACTCTCCTCACTCAGCTGGTCTGGGTTCAGGCCCAGCTCTCCAGTTTACTTACTAGATGGGTGACCTTCACAAACGTGTAACTGTGTCCTCCATCACAGGATGAGGACATGGGTATGCACCAGCAACATTCTTGGATTGCATAATGATCAGCACAGTTTGGATGTGGCAGGCACTCAAAGGCTGTTTCTACTACTCACTTTTTCGGCCTCAGGGTCTTTTGTTGTGTTAGGGAGAAGTTGGGGTGTTTCAAAGAATGGAAATTTCCAGAAAAACAAAAACAAGAACCCTTTCTTTCTCTTGCAGCCCCAACGTGAGGGGAGCTGCAGGCTTCTGCCATAAGGAATAGTCTGCTTTTCACCGAGGGACCAGGGAGGAACAATTAGACAGGAGCACTTCACCACTAGAAAAGGCTTTTATTAAAAACAAATTCTAATAAAACCAGGCCTGGTTCTCAACCCCCTTTCTGGGTGAAAGTCCCTAGGATGGAAAAGGGTCAGAGAGATAGAAGATGGTGGGCACCAGAAGAGCAGGGTTGGCAGCTCAGTGGCTGCCACTCTCCTGGTATCAATGACGGGGTGACTCTTCGGAAACCCAGTGAGTGAGGCTGCATCTTCTCAGGCAGGAAGGCCCACTGCTGTCCTGGGACCTTGGCAAGGCAGCATGACAGGATCCAAGTAGTCTTGGTGGACTCTCAGCAAAGGCTGCTGAGGGTCACTCAGCCTGAGCGATGGCATAGGAGAGCAGCCACAGCAGCAGGGGGCTCAGAAGGAGAACAGCCAGCCAGACAACAAAGCTGGCCACGATGAGCCTCCGGGCCCGAGCCCCCCAGTAGACTGCCTCCTCGCACCGGGCTGCCTTATGCCGCTCTTCTGCCTGTGGGGGCAGGTTCATGGTTAGCTTCTCCTCCTGCCCCATGGCCCCACTCCACTTCCCCATTCCTGTCATAGCTCAAAACCTCACACACACCCCATCTGCCTCACAGTGGCCACAGTGCACTTAAAAGATCAAACATAAGAAGGTACTTCCCAAACCTTTAATCCCTAATCTTCCCTATCCAACCCAGATTCACTCGCAAGTTGCAGATCTCAGTAAACTGGTGTATTTCACTCATGTAGTCCAGCAGCATCCTGTTCTTTCAACATAATCAACAGTGTTTTAATCAAGGATCTCTTTTCCCTAACAAAACACAAAATGGTTATGCTATTTGGGACCCAATTTCTAACTGAAAATGCACCTAGGGCAGAGGAAATCCTAACATGCTGTCTAGGTCAGCCTGTGGGATTGGGCATTTGGCATGGCAGTGAAGAAGCCACTGGGTATACCTGCAAACCCCAGGTCGGAGTACTCTCCACGTTGGACTCCAGCTTCCTGCTAATATCCATCCATAGGCACAGGTGATGGCTTGAGTACTTAGGGCCCTGCTACCCATGTGGAAGGCCCAGGTGGAATTCTGGGCTCCTGGCTTGTCTGGCCCAAAATATGCTGTTGTAGATGGGAGATAATGCTCTCTGCCTTCCAAATAAATTAAAATTAAATTAAATCTGAATGAGCCTATGTATTCTTCCAAAAGACACATGTGCAGCTTCTGTTACATCTTTCAAGGTGGTACAGCCCTCTCAACGGCCACTTGGCTTCTTTGAAAGAAAATCAGAGATGCTCTCAGCAGAGCCTAGCTGCCTCTAGTCTCACCTGCCCTTTCCACTTCATCCTCCACATGTCCAGAGCGGGCCTTCTTGAAATAAATCTGACCACATCAGCCTCCCCTGCAAAGCCCTGCTCATGGCTCCCCAGTGTACTTTCAGAGTCAGAACTTCTTGGAACAGAACTGCAGATCCGGGCCTGGCATGGTAGTCTAGTGGCTAAATTCCTCCCCTTGCATGATCTGGGATCCCATATGGGCACCAGTTCATGTCCCAACAGCCTCGTTTCGTTTCCCACCCAGCTCCCTGCCATGACCTGGGAAAGCAGGCAAGGATGGCCCAAAGTCTCGGGACCCTGCAAACGTATGGGAGACCTGGAAGAAGCTCCTGGCTTTGATTAGCTCAGCTCTGACCATTGTGGCCGCTTGGGGAGTGAACCAGCAGATGGAAGATATTTCTCTTCTCTGCTCTGACTTTTCAATTAAATATTTATATATTTATGTTTAACATTATATATATGGGTCCCTGCACCCATGTTAGAGCTCCTGGCTCTGGCCTGGGAGTGCCCTGACCATTTGGGCAGTGAACCAGCAAATGGAAGATCAATTCTCTCTGCCTCTCCTAATTTCACCTTTCAAATTAAAAAAAAAATTTTTTTTAAATATACATATTTTGGGGCCTAGGACAGCAGCCTAGCAGCTAAAATCCTTGCCTTGCACCACCAGGATCCCATATGGGTGTTGGTTCTAATCTTGGCAGCCCCGTTTCCCATCCCTGCTTGTGATCTGGGAAAGCAGCCCAGGACGGCCCAAAGCCTTGGGACCCTGCACGCACGTGGACCTGGAAAAAGTCTCTGGTTCCTGGCTTTGGACCAGTTCAGCTCTGGCTGATGCTACCATTTGGGGAGTAAATCATCAGACGCAAGATCTGTCTCTCCTCCTCTCTGTACATCTTACTTTCCAATAAAAATAAATCTTTTTTAAAAATTACCATATCCAGAAGTGAAGACACAATGCAACATGCATCTCTGTTTCTAAATAAAAGATGCACTCCCAATGAAAGTGCTGGATATATCTGTCCAACGGGATGATGAGCTCTCCAACATTGTCTGTACCAGCAATGTTGGGGCATGCTTAAACAGCAGACTGATGGAATTGTAACTCCTTATGAAGAATTGTGACATTATGGAAAAAATCATTTCAAAAATTAAAAAAAATAATAATAATTAAATAGAGACACAGTAAAAGGCAAAAACATTATGTATTTTGGGGCAAAATGATTTTAAAGTTTTAACTTCCAGAGTTTTCATAAGTTTCTGAAGATTCTTTATGTATGGCTTCAGGGATTTTCTGCACCAAAACAAGTTACCTTCTTCTGTAACATACATTTATTTTCATTTTATTTTAAAGCAAACAGAGTTGGAGAAATATCTTTTACTGGTCCACTGCCCACTTGCAGACAATGTTGGCTGGACTAAGAGTGAAGCCCACAATCCCAGAACCTAACTCTGACAGCCTCAGTTCCAAGTACTTGACTCATCATTTGACATCTCCAGCACAGATATCAGCAAGAGGATGGACTGGAAGTGTAGCAGTCAGACCTTGAACTTCTTACTCCTGTAGGAGATATGATTTCACTGTTGTGCCACATGCCTACTGAAACTTTTTAATTCCACTTTCCATGAACCTGTGAAGTTGCCTTGTAGGCAGTCTCACACTTGGACCTGTCCTGGCTCAGAGTGCCCAGTGCAGTGTCTGGTATGGTGCTAGCTCTTCCGAGTCCTCTAATATGCAGGGACAGTATTTTACTCTGGCCCCAGGCCTAGAGCCATGCTCTGATAGATACTTACTGCTGTATGGTCAGCCGGCAAATCAAATACACTAAATCTCCACCTGACACCCAGGTCCCCCTTGCTCCCACAGGAACAGCATTCCTCACCTTGATGGCAAACACAAGAGCTATGACTCCCAGGCAAGAGCAGCCACAGACAATGCTAGCAGCTGCCAAGTAGCGGAGGCGGAGCCAGCAGCAGCGCATGGGGGATGGAGAATGGGCAGCTTCCGTGCTGCTCACCAAGCTTTCCACTGCCTTTTCCTCGTCCTCCATCACCTGCGGGCGACAGCCAAGGTACTTTTGAGCCCAGAGACAGAGCTCTTGGCATGGCTTGCTAAGACTCCACCCCTCTCCAAGCATGCTTTGTGGCCTTGCCCAACTCCCTGGAATGCTGCCCCACTGGGGAAGTCCTCTAGTGACTCATAGACCAGGAGAGGAAATTTAACTAGGATCCTTTTCATAGTCTGTGAACACAGTACATCTGTACTATTTCTTTGACAAGCAGGGAAAAACAAAATGACAAGGACACACTTGGCCACCAGAAGGGAGACAATGAACCCTCAAATTCCCTAAAGGTGGCCCCCAAGCACAGAGTAGACAGAGAAGTCCCCTAGGCCCTGTACCCACTTCAACCAAAGCAGCATTTTCATACAACAGTCCTGAGGAGGGAGCAAAGGAGAAGCCCCTACCGAAGCCTTACTTGATGACTGAAGACCCAAGTTGAGCTGCCCCTGCTAGGCTGCCTCCCCAGCCCCGCCCCTCTCATTTCAAGCCAGGCCATACAATACCATCACATGACGCCTGGCTCCAAATGACCTCATTCTTCACAGAAACCTGCAACACAGCCTAGTTCTCACAGGCTCTAACGCTGCCACCAGGCCAATTCCCCACCATTCAACCATCCTTTTCAGCTGGGACAAAATGGTACCACGTGGAGGTCCCTGTACACAAGTAACATGAGAAAGCGAAGAAGGAAAAGGGGCAAGGGAAACTAAACAGAGTGACCACACGCCACCAAACTGCAAGGAGGTCTGAGTCCAGAATTCAGCTGAAGTATGCCCAGTGAGGCAGGAACATGAGATGGGCCAGGGAATCGAGGTCAGAAAAAGCAGAGGAACAAGGCTCTTACCTGGCCACAGGTCTTGAGGGACTTGGAGTTTCGCCTCCTGCCTCGGGTTTCATTTGGCCTGGGTGGAGAGGGAGCTGACTCAGGGCTCCCCGCCAAGCCATGGGGTGGGGCTGAGCAGCCAGCCACTGTCTGAAGAGTCCCAGAAACTGGTAAGGGGTGTGGCTGACTCAAACCAGTTTGGCTAGATGGAAGACACTAGGAGAGCCAAGGACTAGTACAAGTAGAGGTAGAAGGCCTGCTTTTAGTAAATGGGGAGTGAAAAGCAGCTCCTGAGTCGCCGGCACAGCCTAGGAGCCAGGGGCCTTGAAGGGATGGTGAGGAACTGGACGTCAGAAGGACTTAAAATCTGAACTTCAGGGAAAGGCATCCTCCCACATCAGGTTAGCAATCTTTCCTCATAATGGTTCACTTGTGCATCAAAGACACATTATCCTGGGCTCAATCGGGCATTACAGTCATGGTGGAGAGTGGAACCACTGCCCAAGCTCCCACCAAACCCCCACCAAACCAGAGAATCAGAAAATCAGAAGCCTCCTTACACGGATGCTCATACAGAAACTAAGTTTATTATTTTTTCTCCTTAAAAAAAAAAAAAAAAAAAGAAAAAACAAAACAAACTCATTGTAGAGAAGCCCCTCTCCCTTCCTCTAAGGGTGGGGGCTGTGAAAGACAGCTGGGGAATCAAGTACAGGGGGTGGGGACAGACTATCTTGCCACCCTTAACACTGCCCAGCCAGATAGGGTGGGAGGGAAGGGGGATTGCGAGGAGCCCCATTTCCATGACAACCAGTTGCCTACTCCCTACTCAGGTGGAAAGAAGGAAGAAGGCCCTGATATCTCCTTGGAGGCTTTCCCCCTCAAGACTTCAAGTAGTGGTTAAGAGTCAGGCCTGGTCATGGAGGGAAAGTGGCCACGGCAGAAAGCCTCAGCGGAGGGGCACCTAACTCACGTCTTGGCTTTGCGGCCTCTGTGACTAACAGTAGGGCCAGCCAAGGCAGGAGGTGCACTGCTGCGCAAGATCCGCTGGTCCCCTGGGTTGGTGGTCCCAACAAGCCTGCGGGGGCCAGGCCGGCGGCGGGGGGTGTCATCTCCTTCTTCCTCCTCACCTGAGGCTTCAGCCTCAGACTCCTCCACTGAACCCTCAGGTCCCAGGGGACTTGGGGGCTGGAGGCGGCCCCGCTTTGCCAGCCCAGGGCCTCCACCAATTGGAGCCCCAGCCCGTTTGCGAGGCACCTTCTCAGTCTCTAGTGGGGGAACTAGAGACCCTGGACGCAGCCGGGTTGAACGCAGTTTTGGGGCTATTGAGACCACAGGAGGTGTCAATTCTAATCCGCTGCCTGGCCCACTCTCTGCTAAATCCAGGTCATCCTGAATGACGGCAACCACCACGGACCCTTCACTTTTTCGTCCCCGTACTCCCTCTGCTTCAAGCCGCAGGCGGGCCAGGCGAGTGAGGGGGCGGCTCCCATCCTCGTCAGACGAACTACCCTCACTCTCCCCGTGGCACTGTGGCTGCCGCTGCCTCCCCATTCCACAGCCCTCGAGAGCAGAAGAGTTGTCACGGTCCAAGATGGGGAGTTGACTGGGTCGAGGTGATGGTGGGTTCTTGGGAGGTCGGCCCCGCTTCCGCTTGGGTGGGGACGTTGAAATGGTGACAGTGGTGACAGTGTTGGTGACAGGAGCAGTGGAACAGGCCAGAAGTGGTGGGAGTGGTGGCAGGGGTGGTGGCAGCGGGAATGGCTGTGTCCGGCTCTCTAAACTGCCATCCCCTGGAGAAGAAATGGTCCCAGTGATTGGCATATCTCGTGCTTTAGGGGGCCGCCCACGCCGCCTTTTCTCCACAGGTGACAGGATGATGGGCTCAGGTCTGTGAACTGGCTGGGGTTCAAGAGGCTGGGAACCAGAAATAAGCTGGGGTCCCGAGACAGGTTCTGCAACAGTCAGGGTCTCAGCCCCAGGGCTGGGATCAGCCCCGTTAGCTTTTCCTTTAGGGGTGGATGAGAGCGCCTCATCCGCTCCTCTCCCAGAATCTGCTGGAGACCTGTTCTTGGGTGGCCTCCCGCGCCGACGCTTCACAGCAGGTGGGGTGAAGGCAAGCAGTGCCCCTTCTCCATTCTCTGGGCTGCTCCCATCAGTCACCCCAAGCTCAATGCGACGACGAGCTATGAAGGGATGCTGGGTAGGGGTGGGCAGTGAGGACGAGGAAGCAGCTTCACAGGGCCCACTGGTGGGTGGGGATGACTCGGGTCCTGAAACGCTGCGGGCTGATGGGCTTCCCGGGCTGGCACTAGTCTCAGAGACACCCGACACTAAGGTGCTGGCAGTTCCCCGCTGCTGCCGCCGTCGCCTTACTAACTCCTTTTCCTCCACCACCGTTACTAGCCTTCCAGGCAGTTTACGAAGCACTTTGGGGCCTGGAGGTTGCCCTGGCCTACCAGCCCCTTGACCCCTAATTTCCACATCAGCACTGGTGCGACGCCGTGGCGGTCGGGCAGGCGAAGGACTCTCGGGTGAGGAGGTGGCTGAAGATGAGGTGGATGGGGCTGTGACATCAGTTCTAACAAGCTCCTGGGGTTTCTCCGGGGTGGAGGTTGGGGTTTGCGACTCCACCAGCTCTTCTGAGTTCCTATCTGCCTCCATCAGCTCCTGAAGCGGCTCATCAGACACTGCTGAGGGTGGGAGCTCAAGTCCATTGCTTTCACTCAGACCATCGGGCAGGCCTGGAAGGACATCCTCTTCTGGAGGATCTGGGGCCTCTTGCTCTTCACTATTGGGGACACTGCTAGCCTCCAAGGTTGTACTAGGTGCAGAAGAGGTGAGAGAGAGGCTCTTCTCTGAAGCAGGCAGGCTGTCCACAGCAACTGGCCACAGATCTGCAGGCGGCCCAGGAGGCAGCTGCGAGGCCTCGGATGTGATCACACCAGCCAGCTCCGTGGACTCTGTGGACGCCAATGGCTGTGCACTCAGTTCTGCTTCAGGCCCCAAACCCAAGGGGAGGTGAGCAGCTGGGGGACAGAGGGGTCTAGAAGGTGGAGCAGGCAAGAGGGAAGATGAAATTAAGAGAGAGGTTTGGACTGGTGGGGGGGAATGAGCTGGTGGAGGGGTACAGGCAGGAGGAGGGGTACAGGCAGGTGAGGAACAAGAAGGAGCAATCTGTGGAGGAGGTGGTGGGGGAGAAGGGAGGACATGGACAGGAAGAACAGTTACTGAATTTGGGGCTGAAACAGGTATTGAGACAGAGACTGGAACAGGGACTGGGGCAGGAATTGCAGCAGGAGCTGAAGCTGGAGTGGATCGAGGTCTAGGTGCTGGCCTGGCAACTCGCTCCCTGGCAGGACTGGAGCAGGGGGGCGTGGAGGTGCTGCGGGGAGGATGGGGAGATGTGACAGGAGTGTGGTTGGCCCCTTGAGTCTCAGCCCGGGCTCCACGAAGACGTTCACTGACACGAGTCCCCGGCCTCTCAGGGGCCTTGGCCTTCTTACTGCGCCGATGGCTGCCTCCACCAGTCCCACAGGAAGTATCATCCCCAGCCCCTGGCCCCTCCTCCTCCTCTTGGGGTAGGCGGAATACTTCCTCCTTGGCTTGGTCCAGGTCTTTGCGGGCAGCTTCAACTTGCTCCTACCAACAACAGAGCCCAAGGGTGGTCAGTGGGCAGCACACAGAGCAGGCCGTGGGGGAATCAGCAGCTTTCTGCTGCAGGCCCCAACCCCCAACATACTCACTTCCGCCTGCTTGAGCTCCTCCCGGCTCACCTCCTCCAGGGAGGCTTCCAGGAACTTCATGGCGTAGCGTTCAATGGGAGTTAGCTGCCAGACAGAGCAGTGGAGGTCAGCAGAGGGCCCTGACACCCAGAGTCCCATCACCCCTGACAGAGGGCCAGGAGCCCAAAGGAAGAAGTTACAGAGGAGGAAGTTGGAAATGACTGCGTCCAACACTAACCTGTTCAACAAGTGCAGCAATTTCCTGTTCGGCCCGAGACATCTCCTCATCCTCAGCCCCAGGCCGACTGGCCTCCTCTCCCTCACCAGCAGGAAACCCCTCACTCTCATTGAATTCTGCAAGCTCAGCCACCTGCTCAGCTTTGGCCTGAGTGGCAGCACGGATATCCTCTTCATCCTCTGCCCGACATAATGCCTTTGAGGGTATGTAAGAAAACAAACAAGCAAAACATATGAGACAGCAAGAACTGAACATCCTATGATCAACCCAACACAGCTAACCAGAGCAGCAAGTGGGCTTTAGCAGCACTCGTACTAGCGACAAATGCCTAAGACTCCTAGTTCTACCTCCTTTCCTTCAGAGTCACACTTGGAGCTCTCGTCAGCATCCTAGCCATATAGGTGGCAGTTTGTGATCTGGCTGCTCTACCAATCAATCTTAAAATTTCTGGAAAAAAAACCATTTTTTTTGGGGGGGTGGGTGGTACTGAGATGACCTTTTCTTGAGGTGAATATCCAGGGAGTTTTATACCAAAGAAGCAAAGAGCACACACAGGGTGGAAGTGTTCCTTCCAAAAGATCATGAAAAAAATGGGATTAAAAAGTGTTAGAAAATTTTAGAATTCATTATCCTCTCTCACATT